AATGAGACTGTATTGTAGGAGTTATTACTTTATAATAACAACAATAGGAGCTGCAAATAATTACATGTTAACTTAGAAAAATATAGCTTGTTTACAAGGTCAATCTATTTCCTAATCCCTATTTAAGCACTGCTATTAAGCATACTGAGTATGCTACTATCTCTCTCTCTCTCTTTTAAAGAATCAATGTGTTTGATATTGATATTGCCAGTAAAGAATAAAGAAACTTGCCAGCATGTAATATCTTTATAATCTTAATTTTTAGGCACCATTCCCATCTCTAATGGAAGGGAGTCTGCATTCATTATTTTTATCTCTACAGTATTTCTGCTTACTGTGAACATTGTCTAAAACTTTATTACATAAATGTTGTAGAATGTGTAGTTAGATACAGCTACTGCACAGTCCTGTGTCAAATGCAGACAGTTTGGGCCTGAGTTATTGTAGAGAATATTTGTGATGGGATCTCCCAATTTTTAATCATCTTCCCTTAATTTATTTGCTCAAAATGACAGTACTTCAAAGACAGGGTCTGTAACCTTTCTGCTGTGCCATTTTCATTCTATAAATGCACTATAAAGCTTCCAGCAGTCCTGTGGTTTAGATTGAATGAGGGTTTGAATAACAGGAAAGTAGTTGCTGTTTGATAGGATTAATAAATTTGCACTTATTAACACTAGAGCTTTGACTGTCAATTAAGAAATCCCTTATGGTTGATAGTTTATTACTTCTAAACAAGGAGAATTGGGAGAATGACAGTCTTATTTGTAAAATCACACTTAATATAGTTTGCGAGTGTTTGTGATAGATTACATAATTTATGAGTAACCTTTTAGAATAAGTAAAAATTAATCAAAGTAAATGCCAATTTGACCTCAGCAGAGTGCGTGGTCAAGACAATTTGTGTGCAGATAATTCAACTTGAGTCAAATTTTTATGTGTTTTTACAGATTTAAAATATATTCACCATTGTTAGCATTTTGTAATATATTGTTAAACAAAATACCAGAGTTTGAATCAAACTTCATCTACTTTGGAAATTCCCTTTTTTCCTTTCATTTATATCTACTTGTGACAAACACTTTATCAGTATGATATTGCTCTTTTGACATTTTGTACATAGAAAAAGAAGACCAGGAGTGTGGGAGCAGAAAAACAGTGTTTCCAAGATAGTTCTACTAACTAATTCTAATATTCCAAATAAAAATTCTATCCTTCTCCACAAGGACTGTGCTAAATTTACACATGAGCTTAATTAACAATTAAAAATGTATTTGATCAGTAACTCATAAATAATGAGATAGTTTGCCATCAAGAAAATGCTTAAGAAATCAAATATTCAGTACTTAATAGGTTCAAGAACATAATTTATATTTAAAATTTAGACACAATACAGAAAGTTCCTTGTAACTACATTGCTTTTTCTGTGATGTTCTAACCACATTTTATGGTTATTGAGTAAAAGTTTAGAATAAAATGTCAAAGATAGTTCAAATTGCCACCATAAAATGTTCTGCTTAATGAAAACACAAAACACGTGAATTTCATCGGATTATGTTAGGAGTTTTAGCCTTTGATTTTTCTCTGGGCAAAACACTGGCATTCTTGGATAAGGATTGGAATTCTGCACATGGAAAACTTGGGGTATTTAAGTTCTCATTTTAAATCTGAAAGCAGGACTTCTCTCAATAATGTCCTCTCATCCTTAAACATGGTATGTGTGTGTGTGTATTCATTCATTGTATTTTAGTTGAAGGATACAAATATCTGAATAAGTAAATAACAACAGATATCCAAAGAGACAAACCTTTTTATATTCAAACGTTCAGACTTTACAGCTACTCAGTAAAATTGTTCAATGTTACACTTCTCTTACTGCCAGTGGTGGCTTAGGATACGTTAAAACTTCTTTCTAGGGAACTGGAAACTGGAAAGATTGAATAAAGAGTCTCTAGCATACATTCTTAACTACATTACAAAAGTGAAACTTTTCCTCTGGATGTATTGTCAGCGCAGGATGGTCCCGCTGCCTTTGTACTGACATCTCCCATATAACCCCACCCCGCCTGAAAGTATTTAAGTCTGCTTAATATTGGACTCTGAACTCAGTAGTGTCAATTTAAGAATTTCCTCTGAATGATATTATAAATGATCTATTAGGAGGACTATGCAGTCTACAGTGTCTTACTTAAAATGAGTGCTAATTGTATTATGAACTTTCTGTCACTGTCTCACCTTTTTAACCACATCTTGATTTGGAGTGTTGGGAATGCTCTCCTTATGCAAAAAAAGCAAGGCTGCTTTTTCATAATGGTGAGGCCATTGCCTCAGTTGACTTTTACTCATCAGCAGCAATGACAGATTGCTGGAGGAGGAAGCTGCACGCCACACAGCCGTCTTTGTATCCACTAAGCTAGCTGACTACCGTTAAGATATGGTTGAGGATGCCACACCCTGGGTAGTTTTGTAAAAAGAGCCAACTACCAATTAGGTATGTGTAGATCAGCCTCTCTAAGCTGCTGCTATGTCACAAAGACCCATCATTACATCCTAACTAGGATGTAGGCATTATAGGCCAATAAATCTAGAGAGTGTCTAGGATGATTAAGGGAGCAGTTTTGGTCAGAGAAAAACTGGTTGATATTTCAGAGCTGAAGAGTAGAGAACCACCTTGGGACTTTTATAATGAGCCAATGCTGTTATTGGTCTACAATTTGCCAGCCTCTCTTCTTCTTTCCCACCTTTTCTACTTGTTTTCTATCCAACACATAGCAAAATTCTCTCTTCAAGTCTTCTCATGAGGAATATATTGCTACTGTTAAAAGTAGAAAGAGAAAAAACAGATGTTGCTCCTTGTTGCTATCAGAAGTGGAGTGTAGTGAATTCCCTACCTGTTAGGCTAGGAAAAGCCTAGAAAAGTAGGCCCAGGAAGTTCGGCAGCCATTTTGGAAAGGGTGACGGGGGAAATTCATTTTAGTTACTCATTTCCTGAAGGGGGCGTGTTTAGAAAGAGCAGCTTTGGAGGGAAATGAGGGAAGACTGTAATTGGCTGAGTGAGAGTGGGTGGAGTCTAACTTGGCAAAAGAAAAAAAACATGACTTTGGGGATGTTTTGAAAACCCTGTCGGGGAGATTGCACCTGGGTGTTAAAGGGAGAAGGAGCTGGGAGTTAGGAGTGGCGAAGGGTTGGTGAGAGAGGCCTGAAATTGGTCAGTTGGCTTGCAGAGATAGCTAGTGGGAAGATTTCTACAGCTATTAGGGAGATAGCTGGTGGAGGAGTGAAGAGATAGATCCAGGATAGGACTATCTGTGCTGGTGTTTAGAATTACTTACAGAGAAGCAATCCTGTCAGTACACAAGTGTTCTTGTGTAACTAAGTCTGAACTACTTAAAGTAACCACACACTTTTAAGTCAATACTCAGAAACAGCTAAGCTTTATACCTGAAATGTTCCAGTTCTCTTAAATAAACATCATTTATTTGTTGTTCACAACATCTGCCTCACGTGTGCCTCTGTGGGGGAAGTTTTAAAAGCAGTTTCCTGCAGCAAACGTGAGTCTATGGTGGCAGCGAATAGTTGAAAGAACAATCTTTTAGTGTTTCCTCAGAACACAAGCCTGAGGGCTAATCCAACACACTCTTGCCTAAGATACTTCCAGTAAGCCAAGGGCTTATCAGTGCTTTTAAGTTTGGTGGTGGCCACAGGGTTTTCAAAAGGTTTTTTTGGCCAGAATCATAGAATCATAGAGTTGGAAGAGACCTCATGGGCCATCCAGTCCAACCCCCTGCCAAGAAGCAGGAATATTGCATTCAAAGCACCCCTGACAGATGGCCATCTAGCCTCTGTTTAAAAACTTCCAAAGAAGGAGCCTCCACCACACTCTGGGGCAGAGAGTTCCACTGCTGAACGGCTCTCAGAGTCAGGAAGTTCTTCCTCATGTTCAGATGGAATCTCCTTTCTTGTAGTTTGAAGCCATTGTTCAGTGTCCTAGTCTCCACGGAAGATAGTTCCAGCTTAGTGCTACTGTTGCATCCCAGTTCAAGAAACGAGACCATAAGATTAAATCCACCACTCTGGACTGTAGGAAAAGCAACCCTTGTTTATTGATGAAAAATTGGTTACAAAAGAAAGGTAAATGCAGAGTCAAAAAGCCACAAAAAAACACAGTAGTCAATAGGATCTCTGAACTTGAGCAAAACTTCAAAAGCCACAAAACAATAACCAGGAGTCTGTTAGCCTTTTACTAACCATGAACTTGGAAACTAGAAGCCTCTGGGATTACTGGCCATGGAACACAGGAATTCTGCCAAGGCACAGCCACAGTCCCGAACGTTGCTTGACCTAAAGAAGCACCCGGCAGGAACCCTCTTAAACCAAAGAAGCTATTCTTAGAAACGCCCCTTGACTTTTCTGTCTGGGCCTCTTTCTGCTGTAAGCGCTGTGACCTTCGTAGAAACTGGGAAACATTTCTATCTCTGACTATCTGTTCTCTTCGGTCCTCATTAGAAACCCCAGGTGGAGAGATATCACGGCTAACTTCCCAAACATTCTCTTCCAGCTGTTGGGTTTCGTTTTCATCCCCACTGATCTCTGCATCAACAATAGATTCCACACTGTGAGAGTCAGGGAGAGCTTGCTCAGTTGGAAAAACTATCAGAGAATCCTGTTCACACAGATCAGGATCAGGCTGAACCCCAACAGCTGCTTTTGTTTTGGGCTTTTAAAACACAGAAGCCACATTCCAATCACAAGTGGTGTTCTGCCTTTTGGGATTTTGTTCCCAAATAAAACTTCAACACCATTATATGGAGCTTGCTTCTTAGGAGATTTTCCATATGATGTCAAGGGGATGAAGAAGAGCTGGGAAACAAGGGTAAGACAATAGGAGAGCACTCTGTTTTCCCATTCTTTTGATTTGTGAAACCTACTTAAATATTGTTGTCTGTCATGTGTTACAATTGGATGCATACTTGGATATCTCTTCTGTTTTATCTTCACAGCTATAATGTATGTAATGGGAGCTCTTGGTCCTGCAGCAGGATATTTATTAGGAGGAGTTCTTATTGGATTTTATGTGGATCCTAGAAGTACTATTTATATTGACCAGAGTGACCCTCGCTTCATTGGTAACTGGTAAGTTGCAACAATGTGTGTTTTTTATCCATTAGAGAGGTGTAACCAATGGATAAAACCCTTTAGAGATTTCCAAAATGGCTTAACATCTCTTAGTTTTTAATATCTCCCCAAGTCAAAACACTTGAATTGCCACAAAATATGGGGATTTGACCTTCATTGCCTCCCACTCCCCCTAAACTATAGACATTGGGTATATATCTGCCAGTTCAGGGAACCGGAAGTAAACTCATCTCAGATTTGGTATTCTGGTCACACTTGTGCAAGGTCATGGGCAGGATGGTCCTGTTGCCTTTGTACTGACATCTCCCATATAAATCCCCCTGCCCGAAAGTAGTTACAGTCTGCTTAATATTGGACTCTGCACTCAGGAGTGTCAGTTGAAGAATATCTGAAAGATATGTAACAAGAGCTTCTAAACAATTTCTTAACTGCTACCCATACTTTGTGACTTTAATAACATCATTTAAGAATATATTTTAATTGCTAAATGTTAATTGTTTAATACTCATTGATTTATACATAATGGGTGAGAGATTGAGAATATTGAATGAATAACTATGATAAGCTATATAGTAGGACATAAATGAAGTACAGACTTACAGGGGACATGTTTATCAACAGTTGGTATTCATCATAGCTAAATGAAACTTAAATTTAGATTTAAGCATCATGCCCTTTAGAATGCAAATAATAGTGATGCAAGCTAAATAATAACAATAATAACAACTTTATAAAAATTGCAGCCACAATAAAAGATTTGTCATAATTATACAAGCATCACAGGGAAGTGCAGTATCAGTTTTGCCACCAAAATAATAGGGTTTTGATGATTTGTAATGACATGGCTTTAGATTTTTTAAGAACTACGGTAGAACTAAGGATGCTGTGCTATAATTAGGTGCACATATAGGACTGTGAGTAGCTATAAAGCTTGATAGCTTTCAATTTCTACCAGATGATTTTAAATTGATTTTCTGCCGATTGTGCAGTTGGCTTTTTAACTATTTTCTCAGCAAAACTGACCTATGAATTTCAAAAGTTATGGTCTCTAGGTTCTTGTGGGTTTTTTCGGGCTATAGGGCCATGTTCTAGAACATGGCCCTATAGCCCGAAAAAACCCACAAGAACCTAGTGATTCCAGCCATAAAAGCCTTCGACAATACATTGTTATGGTCTCTATTTGTTTATATTTAGACAGGAATCTAATGGTAAATGTACTATGGACTCACATCATGTCAATCCCCCAGTTGTGTAATCATCAAAAGAACCTGAAAATCAAGCTTGGCAACACTATATTTTTAAAGATATGACAGTTTTAGCAGTTTACATTTCTTTGATGAGCATCTTCACAAAGGAAAAATTAGAATTCTGTTTTAGATAGTCTCATTTCCCCTTTTAAAGCTTGATGTATTTCCATTGCCCATTTAAGATCAATCCATGACCAAATGTTTGCGTCATAACATGGATAGTTCAAATTATTTTATTGTTCTTGAGAAAAACAGCCTTCCATCCAACTACCTGTGTGAATTGCAGCTGTGATTAGATTGCATCCTCCTGAAGAGGAAGATGCAGACATGCCTGCTAAAGGAAAACTTCCAAAACTCTGTGAGAGATGCCTCTCATGTTAATTTCACTTTTAAAACAACACATAATATAATTTAAGGGTTGAATATTATAGAGTTCAAGATCTTCACTAGTTTTTTCAGAATATCTGGCTTGTGATTGTACATCAACTATAATAGTGAAAGGAAACGTCTGAATTACCTGGATATATCCTGGACACTTGATGTTAGCTATCAGAAAGTGTCCCAGCAACAATATAAACTAGACCTGCACAAAAAGTAGTTTTACTGGGCATAGAAATTTATAGTAGGACACATGACGAGGCCCAATGTTAACCAGGCTTTGAACAAATTAGTGTGAGAACTAAAGTAAATTTCATTGAATCAAAGATCGTGATAAGTCTGTATAGCCTGCCTTTTCTTGGTTGGCAGAATAAGAACTTACTCTGCCTTATGTATCACCTTTAAATCCTAACTGTATTTTGGCTAGCGAATTGGTTTTATAACTAATGCATTTATTTTAATTGTTTTTAAGTTGATTTGTTTTAATACTCGTCTAACTTTAATTTCATTTTAATGTTTATCTTTCGTATATTTTTGTTTTACTTCTTAAGTGTGCGCTGCTTTGAGTCTCAATTTTGAGAAAAAGTAGGCTAACAAACCAGAAAACAAACAAACAAACAAACAAATAAATAATACTTGTGTACATTTTTCCTGCTTGATCACTTAAAGAATCATTATTTTAACAAATACTATTTATCTTTCTCTTACGATGCAGAAGTTCTCTGTGTGTATGAAGTTCTCTATTTGTACCATCACACTTTGTATCAGTCTTTCTCTCAATCTCACACATACACACTAACTGCAGATGCTATTTATTATGCCCTCACTTTAGGTGGAGTGGATTCCTTCTTTGTGCCAGTGCAATGCTACTTGTTATACTCCCCATGTTTACTTTCCCCAAAAAACTTCCACCTCGACACAAGAAAAAGAAAAGGAATATTGCTGATGATATTTCGAATGAGGATGATATAGTGAAAGAGAAAGCAAACAACAAACAGCAGATAGACCAGGAAGTCCCTGCTTCAATGGGATTTGAAAAGAATGTTAAAGGTAAAATATCAATCTAGCTTCAGTGCTGATACCCAGACATAACTCCACTTTTTACTGTTCTGTGCCTGGAGGTTGTCATCAAACATTCAACAATAATACTACTTTAAACAGTAAAACTGATTTGAGTGTAGGAGGCTGTGTCTAATTAGAAACTTTATCGTTTAGATATTGCTCATTCAGAGGCATGTATAGGCCACATTTGTAGGCAAAAGGTTTAGAGTTTGCTAAGATACATACATTTAGATTGTTGCATGTATTTTATACTTGGTTTCCAGAGTGACTGTTCTATGATGCTATTGTTTTCAATGTTTTGCGCTAATATAATGCCTAGGCACACCATCACTGGATGATAACCTAATTGTGGCATTGTCTTAAATCTGCGTTATGCTATTACAGGCATAGTAGTGTAATTTCATCTTCACTTTAAATTTTTCACCTTTTCTTACATTGTTATTTATTTGTTCAGTCGCTTCTGACTCTTCGTGACCTCATGGACCAGCCCACGCCAAAGCTCCCTGTTGGTTGTCGCTACCCCCAGCTCCTTCAAGGTCAATCCAGTCACTTCAAGGATAACATCCACCCATCCATACCCTTGGTGGCCCATCTTCCTTTTTCCTTCCATTTCTCCCAGCATCATTATTTTCCCCAAGCTTTCCTGTCTTCTCATTATGTGGCCAAAGTACCGTATATACTCGAGTATAAGCCGACCTGAATATAAATCGAGGCACCTAATTTTACCACAAAAAACTGGGAAAATTGATTGACTTGAGTATAAGCCGAGGGGTGGGAAATGCAGCAGTTACTGGTCAATTTTAAAATATAAATAGATACTAATACAATTACATTAACTGAGGCATCAGAAGGTTAAATGTTTTTGAATATTTACATAAAACTGTAATTTAAGATAAGACTAGGCTTATACCCGAGTATATACAGTACTTCATCTTTGCCTCTAATATACTTCCCTCCAGTTAGCAGTTGGGTTTTGTTTCCTGGAGTATGGACTGGTTTGATCTTCTTGTGGTCCAGGAACTCTCAGAAGAGTGCCTGTAAACTGCAACTAGTTCAAAGACCTAAAGCCTTACTGCTGCTGGATCCAGGGAGCGCACCACTCCTTGCTACAGCACCTGCACTGGCTGCCAATTTGTATCTGAGCCCAATTAAAGGTTCTGGTTTAAATCTTTAAAGCCCTAAATGGTTCAGGTCAAACTTACCTATCTGACTGCATCTCTTCATACCAACCTGCCAGATCAATAATATCATCAGGAGAGGCCCTACTCTCATTACCGCCACTGTCTCAAACATAGTTGGCTGCGACAAGTGAGAGGGCCTTCTTGGTGGCTCCCGCGAGCCTTTGGAATACTCTTCCCAAGGAGATTAAAACAGCTCCTTCTCTATTATCCTCCAAAAACAATTGAAACCCTTTGTTTAGGCAAGTCTTCAATGGATTAATCCAGACTGAACTGGCAGGAAGGCTATCTCTTCTCAAGCTGAGCGAAGTGCAGTATGACTGGATGGGACACTGTAATAATGCATATGGTTTTTTAAATGTTTATTTATGTTATATTTTATTGATGGTTCATGTTTATATATGTGTTTAATTGCTGTTGATTTTATACTGTATTTAATGAATCTGTGGCTGAAAACAATTGTATTTAAATTGGGGACGGGCTAATCACATTTTATCCCATTCGAAACCACTCAACCCCTTTGGGCAAGGAGGGCCGAACGGAAAGCAACCTCAATTGGTCTATCAGTGTCCCTTTTGCTGCATCTAGGTTTCAAAATGGCACAGGAGTCATTGAAGCAAAGGATGAGAGACATTGCCCTGGGAGGGCTCAGAGCCTGCTCAAATTCATCATATTCCCCTAGATCCTTGAACTTACCATACACTGAGCCATTCAAGTTATGCAAATATCTTAACAGTCTCACAGTGTCTAATTACCACAGACTTTTCACAAAAGCTAGACTAAATGTATTTCTATCAGAGCTGCTAAATGGCAGACTATCTGGCATCCCCTACCCCCAAAGTATATGCCCGTGCGGTGGAAATGAGAAATAGAATAACTAGAACCCATCTTATTGCAGTGTTGATATTACTCAGCTCAATGTGGCCAACTCTTACACCCAATCCTGGCTCGATTGTCTGACCATTCCCTGCAAGGGAAGGTCAGGCATCTTTTGGAGGGCAATCACCATGGGGTGGCCCTCATGGTGGCAAAATTCCTTGCAGTGGCAGCAAGACTGAGAAAGAGCCTAGTCTTCGATCAGGGTATTACCTGACACTGTGTAGTATGTGTCTATATAGTTTATTTCCCCGGTTATGAGGGATCTGTAAACTCCTGTATGTTATTTATTTAACAGCTGTGGGTCCATGGACCGTAATTTTTTTTTTACTGTATTTAATATGTTGAAAGCTGCTTTGGTTCTCTCTTTTTGAGGAGAAATACTGCTGGATAAAGATTTTTTTATTATTATTTATCACATCTACTGGGTAGCCATTTCTTAGAATTAATTTAAAACCAGACCAAGTTTATTTTTGCTTTTCACTGGTTATATATAACATTCATGTCATTTTAATTTTTCTTTGTCATTTTGTAGAACTTCCAAGAGCTGCTGTCAGGATCTTAAGCAACATGACATTTCTTTTTGTGAGTTTGTCATACACAGCTGAGAGTGCCATTGTTACTGCTTTTATTACCTTTATTCCCAAGTTCATCGAGTCACAGTTTGGCATCCCAGCTTCCAATGCCAGCATCTATACTGGTAAGGCATTGCCATTCTGGTCAGGAAATATGTTTTTTCTATTTATTTATTTTTGGGGTGGGGAGGGTTTTGCAGAGGTTTCAGCAATACTGCTTCTCATTCTCTGTGTTCAGTTTGCATTTTTTTTGCCTTATGAGTTGTTGGAGTGTGGGAAAGTTATGTTGGATTACAATTTTCAGAATTCTCCAACCAACGTAGTCACTACCTAGTGACTGGAATATTTTGAACACTGTAGTCCAAAAAAGTAACTGTTCCAAGCTCTGATTTTAGAAAAATTATGGCCTGTGTATAATATAAAAAATTCCAGAGTGTAATGGTTACTCTGGCATTGCCAGCACCTTCAAAGATGAGTTTACTTAATATTAATTGTATTTCAGTAAACTTTGCTGTGTTTTTCAGCTTGTCTCCCTCTTCTGTTTGCAAATAATTCATCAGTCAACTGGTCTTCCTATATCTTAATTACTTTTTTATTCCAGCAGTTACTATTATTGTTGTGATTATTGAAATTGGGACAACTTTTGTATGAATAGTCTTTTAAAAGTCATGAAAGCATGCTATGATGGATTGTTAAAGTAGATCTGGCCAGGGTCCATCCAGTTGAACATTCTTCTCTTCACAGGATTCACATTGACCATTGAAAACATAAACATCTGATATAAGCAAAAATCAGGAATATGAATTATGACTTCAGAGTTCCCTTAAATTTGTAGGTTGTGATTTTAGCTATCATGCTAGCCATCAGTGGCAAGTGTTACATATATACTCCATCATTCAGTCATTCATTCAGGACGAGATCTTTCATTGCATTTGTAGGTGCTAAGAACCCACCTAAAACTTAAGCTGCTCACATGGTAGGTCTGCTGTGCAGGCTGGTGCGGTACTTCAGAATGATTGACTCAGACCAATACATCATATGATGAGCCATCTCCCACCTTTGCGCTGTGGCGCAATGGACAGAAGTTTCTTGTTTTCACACAACTCAGGGCAAGCCATTTCATTCTGAAGCATTCTGCTTCTCTGCATCACAGACCTACCATCACACTGAGGACTCCCTCATATTTCTGGGGAATATGTACCATTGGTCAGCTGTTAAAGGAAAAGCCATATGGAATAGTCTAATTTTAGATCTTGCCTAAATACCCTCAAGAGCACCATATCCTATCTGATGTAGTAAGCTAAGCAGGGTTTGCCTTGGTTAATATTTGGATAGAAGACTGTCAAGGAATACCATGTGGCACAGGGTATATTTCAGAGGGCGGAACTGGCAAAATGTCATTTGAATATTCCTTGCTTAAGAAATTCCTGTGAAATTCATGGAGTTGCCATAAATCAACAGGCACGCGTACACACACTTAAAATGGGTTAAAATGTTTTGTTTAGGAGGCTAGGAAATATGCAAAAGGAAAAATGGTGATACGAGATTGCTAACTATCGAAGTTGCATGCAGGTGCTGAAAATAAGAAGAAGGAAGATAGGGAATGGTTTTGGGCAGGACCGTAAAGAGTATGACTATGCCTCCATAGAGTATGGAAGTCGTGTATTATATAACATAAAGGCTGACCTGATTGACAGGTCTGTAATTCCAGTTGATCACTGGAGAAGCTTTCCTAGCCTTATGAATGTTGTTTCTGTGTACTTTGACATACCCAAGAGCCTTAGTTATATCTTTGCCTAGATTATGTGTATATTCCAAAACATAAAGATCCAGGAGAACTATCACACTTGCTGTGGATAATTCTTTCTGATGTCTAAACTAGGAATGAGAGAGAGCGAAACTAGCAAGTATTTATATAGATGAAATGAGCTCTTGTCATCACTGACACAATGAAAGAAATGTCCATTCTCAAGATGTTGGATAATTCAGACTGAATAATTCCTAAATATCCTGACTTTTGAGTGATGTCCTAGAAGTTATACTGTCTGAATGGACTTTAGTCCTCTGGGGGAAAAAATCACTCATTTAACTTCAGGTCTCTTCCTGCATTTTGTCACATATTACCTTTGTTTAGCACATGCTTCTCTTTATAATCTCCTTTGAGGAAACATGTGTAGAGTATTGTTTTTAAAATGAACTGCCTTGCATTTCAGATATAATATACTCAATTATGACATATGTATCATTTTTCATTAGACCTTTTGATGGGTCTTTACAAATCCAAATTAATTTTAGTCTGAATAATTATTATTTATTTATTTCAAGTATTTATATCCCATCCTTCTCATCTCTAAAGAGGACTCAGGGCGGCTTACAACAGGCAAACATTAGATGCCAAACAATTTATTAAAATACACAGTTACAATTAAAACAGCAAATAAACATTCAATTTAAAACAGTCCACTGGTTCAGAATCAAAATAATAAAGCCTGTGTAAGAGGGGTTTTCTGATTAATAAAAGTGATTCAGTTATTCTCCCTTTTTTGCAGTACAATATCTTTCATGAAAAAGAGACATTTGAAGGAAAACAATAATTTATGAGGGAAGGGAATGCTCTTCCCTCATAAATGTGTGGTTAAGGTGCAAGAAAGGCTATTACAGGAACAAGGATAATTGCTCAAAATGGTTTCAGAGTTTTTTCTTCTTTTCTGGTGGGCAGGGGGTAAAAAGAAAAGGAAAAGAAAAACTCAACTACCTAATTTTAAAAATTGGACAACAGGTGAAAATTAGCAATTCATTTTGTGGATCCTTATTGTTTCTAGAATAGACTTGAACTTCCTAATGGCTTCCTCTTCTGCAGGACAATTAATTTGGCAATTCAGTTAATTTTTCATTGTCTTTTCCTGGTCACTTTTCTTTGTTATTTGATAATATAATGGAATCTTTTAACTTATGATAGCCAATTGTTTTAACTCCCTCTCCCTCCAATTTAGAATTTTTAAATATGTTGAATACAGCCTTCTACACACATAAATCAACAAATGAAGTTTTATAAACTACTCTTCATAAAGTCCTGAGTAAAAAGTGTGAGAAACTATGAGTTGCCTGTATCTAAGGGGAAAAAATCACATTGTTCAATCTTAAATTGAATTTGTTTTGACATCTGAATTTTACATATTTACTAACAACACTTGAGAGCCTGGTCACTTTTCAGACTAGTATAAAAACAAAGGCATATTTCAACTTCTTTGACAATAGTTCTATTTACAATATTTCTGCTGTTTCTGGAAAAATCATAAGGAGGCCTTTATTAATCTTTTGACGTCATTGCAGTGTACTGAAAATTATGGCGTTTTGCTACTGGCAAAATTGTCATCAAGAACTGCTGAGATGGGTAACCTGTCTTTTGGACTGGATCACTTAAAATTGTCTGGTAACATGATAAAAGGGTACTCAAATAAATCCCACATGTAGAAAGCCAGCAAGCCAGGGAGAAGACTAGGTCAAATCCCTTCTCCTTGATGTCAAGTTTTAGTGATCTAAATCTAATCATTAGCTGCATTAGCAGTAGATTAATAGAATCAGTGGACCTTGTGTTGGTATTGATTACCAAGGTCCCCTTAAATCAGCTGGTCTCTGTTTAGGATTAAAATTGTACTGGGCCCAATATGTAGAAATTTTAGAAGGGGTGGGGTGAAAGATTGTTTAGTAATTAAATGTTACATTTCAAACAACATATTCTTGAATCCCTTAGCTGGTATGATTAGTGGCAGTACTGCACATGTACTGACAATTGTGACCACCAAAAGTTAGTTTTCCAAGTCTATCCATTAGACAGAATGAATTGAGTGCATTGAGTAGTAGGTTGTGGCGACAACAGCAACAGTCTTTCTGTGTATAATGCATGACTTATGCTCCTCGTAATCTAGCATGCTATTTCAGATGTAATGTAGAATGTTACCATGTCGCTGTACACCAATGAGATTCAACTCAGCCCATTCCAGATGTTTTCTGTATGTGAGAATAGGCACCCTTACCTTTTGCTTCAGACAGCCAAATGAATATTGAGTCACCTCGAGGTGGATTTTAGGACAAAACTCTGCATAGTGTGCCTTCCCTGCAACACAGCTATAAATCAGATAGACTTATTGTAAAAATAACCATATTGCACCCAAATATGAATAAATCCTGACCACAACAGCACCAACCCATTATCTAACAAACCAAGTCTGTTTAAAATAAGCAGATCCTTTAATTTTTTTTAACTTAAAACCCATAGACCAACAGCATTTCTTTAGAAACTGATCCAGTATAAGTCTATAGGTGTCTGCTTTGAAAAGGTTGTAGAGAAGAACAAAGTATGTCTCCCCTAGAAGGTATTTATTTATTTATTTATTTACTGTATTTGTATACTGCCTTTCTCAGCCCGTAGGTGACTCAAGGCGGTTAACAGGGTAAAATTCAATGCTTAAAATATCATAAATATAATTAAAAACATAACATATAATAAAAACTAAACAAATCAGTAACATATAAATTCATAGTGTCTCCTTGTTAAAAATGTTGTCCGGTCTCATTGTCGTCATTCCATTTTCCTATGTCAGTTATTCTGCATTTGGTACATAGTTTTGTAGTCATGGAGCCACTCTTGAAAATGTCCCATCTCTTTTGTGCCCTCCGGTTTAATGATTCACACTGCTGGGCATACATGGAGGTCTTATGAGGATAAGGGTGGATTTTTAGCTATTTGTGTATGACTTCAACTGTCTAAGATCTTATACATCAAAAGTAGCATTTTAAAGTGGTCCAGAAATGCACCGGCAAAACAGTAGAGTTGCTGTATCTTTGATAAGGTGGTCCAATTAACTAATCTGACATAACTGCCAGTTGTAGTTTCTGGATTGTCTTTAAAAGCAGTAGCAAGTGTTGTATGAATCCTGTCTGAACATCTCAGTCATGATTTCAACCAAGACATTGGTTAGATAGGTTTCCTATTGCCATATAGGCAGGAAAAGGGAAATGTTGGCTTTTGATGCTATCTCTGTTTCTACAGTTATTCCAGAATCCAGAATACTCCAAACTGTAGATATCTTCTGTGCAAACTGTAACTTTTCCAGGAGACACCCTCATACCAGATGGCTTCATCTTTATGAGAACTGGATCTTTAGATAGTGGGGATCACATGTGAGCTTTGTGATCTTAAACAGAGGGCCTTTCTTTCAATCCCTCTGACAGGAGAATTAGCTGTAGAGGGGAGTGCCTTTTTAGTAGTTAACTGCTCAGTTGCTGTGCTGAGAGGCAACAGGCTCCCACTCTTGATATCTTTCTAACACTTGGCAAATACATTTTTCCCAGATCTTTTGAACCTTTATATTATTTTATTTCAAAGTGATTGTTTAGTTTTGATAATTACTCCCCACTTTTTTCTAACTGATCATTGCAGCAGTGTTTTGATCTATTAAAAAGTGTTTCATTTTTTTTGCTGTTTTTTATTTGTCCAGTTATGCTTATACATTTATGCTTTCGTTGTATGTTGCCAGAGAACTCTTGGTGGATAAACTGAATGAGCAATTAATAAATTAATAGTTTTTTTTTATATTAAAAATGAAAATTCTTCAATTTAAAAATGTGTCATGCTATTTTGTCTACTCTTTTAACAATGTAAATGTTTTTAATTAACTGTTTTTTCTTTAACCAGGTGTGATTATTGTTCCAAGTGCTGGCGTTGGTATTGTCCTAGGGGGCTACATTATAAAAAAACTCAAACTCAGTGCAAGAGAATCTGCAAAATTGGCAATGATCTGCTGTGGTGTGTCTCTTCTGTGCTTTTCAACACTTTTCATTGTTGGATGTGAAAGCATTAATCTAGGGGGAATAAATATCCCTTATACTACAGGGTAAGATGTTTTTCCTTTCTAAATAAGTAATGAGTTGCATCAAAGCTGGGCTTTTATATAAAGCTGATAGCTATTTTTAAAATGCAGTCATTACAGAACTTTAAAATGCTTTAGTCAAATAAGATTATAGAACTATTGGATAACCTGTTTCAGACACATATTGAAGGCTACCCCATTGGGCGACAGGATTAGAGTACATATACAGTTCTGTCTCATTCAGAATATCAAGTGTCCAAGACAGAGCTGTAAAAGATCGTATGTGCTGCTGCTACTTTACTGGAACTAAACAGGTTTGCATATGTTAGTGATAGGATGGAAAATCTCAGAAACTTTATGTATGCTTAATTTCTTCTTCTTCTTCTCTCCCCCCCCCCCCCCCCCCTAGAGTTTGTCCTACAAATTCATAGGGTCAGCTTTGCCTGCTGTGGCTTTGTTTTGGGCATTTCTGAAAAAAACACCCAAAAAACAAACTTCATGGTTTTGACAGGTTGATGTGACTGTACTGCAGCTGGCATATCGCATCCCCTATCACTGCAAACCATTGCCCAGTTGGTTGGTTATCCAGCTGGCACTGCTGGGAGGTGGGATCGGATTTTTGCCATCCTTTATGTATACTACATTTAATTTTGAAATTTAGAAAAAATAATAGTGTAGATTTTGAAACTGCTTAGTTGTATAATGGAAAAGGATAGTACAGGGTGCGGCAGCATAACTTCCTTTTTTAAAATGCGCGCATTCAGTCGGTTGAAGACGTAGCGGAGCGCTAGTGGTCTCGTTCGAGAGGCTGGAGTATAAAGTTTTGTCCTGACACAGTTCAGTCGCCATCATGCGTTGGAACAGTGAGGAGCGTGCTTTTGCTGTTGAGGCCTATTTTTCGTGCGGATGTTCTGTGATTGCAACCCAGTGCGCCTTTCAGATTCATTTAATTTAGCCCCATTGGCCCCTGTCCTGGACCGGAAATCAATTGTGACATGGGTCACTACATTCAGACAAACTGCAAGTGCGACAAGACGAAGAACTGGAGTCCCTCGGCCCAATAGATTGTCTGAGAACATTGAGGCAGTGAGAGCTTCAATGTTGCGATCACCACGGCGTTCTGCGCGCAAACGTGCGTCTGTCCTTGGACTTTCCGATCGTTCTGTGAGGAGAATTCTTCATGATGATCTTCATTTCCATCTTTCTGAACATGACTTCAATTCTTGGAGGAACGTGTGTGAGGTTCTTCTCAAAGTCGTTCCTGAGGATGCTATTGTTTTTTTAGTGATGAAGCCCATTTTCATTTGTGTGGATCCGTCAACAAACAAAACATACGCTACTGGGCTGACAACAATCCTCGAGAATTGCATCAAAGGCCTTTGCATTCACCTAAAATCACAGTGTGGTGTGCAATTTCCTCAGCTGGAATTATTGGTCCCTGGTTCTTTGAAGAAAATGAAGTTGCAGTGACAGTGAATTCAGACCAGTATGTAAACAACATGTTACAGGAATTTTTTTCCCCACGGCTAAATGGGTAGGATGTAGGGGACATTTGGTTCTAACAAGACGGTGCAACTGCACACACTTCAAGAGCATCCATGGCTGTTTTGAGGGAACACTTCCCAGAGTTCCTCATCTCAATTAGGGGGGATTTGGAGTGGCTGGCCCGCTCTCCAGATTTGGCCCCATGTGATTTTTTTCTATGGGGTTTTTTGAAATCCCGTATTTATGTGAACCATCCAAGGACCCTATATGATTTGAAGACCAACATCCTGGAAGAAATTGCCAACATAACACCTGCTATGCTGGCAAGAGTCATGACAAACACCTGAAATCGGTTTAATCAGTGTATGGAGAATGGGGCACGTTACCTACCAAATTTGATCTTCAAAACTACGTAAAACAAAACTTTAGGTATGTGCCTAAATTATAAAAAAAATCTGATTCATACAATGGGTTTTATTAAGTTTTGAAAAAAGGAAGTAATGCTGCTGCACCCTGTATAGCTGTACTAAAAAAATTAGGCTGTACCTCTGAACCTATTTACATAAGGAAAAGAGTCTCAATGAGCTTTGCTTACTTCTGAGTTGACATCTGTAGTGCTGCAAATAAGCAAAAACTACATCTCTGTATTGACAAATAATGCTCATTCAATTTGTAATTCAGTCAATATTTATTAACTGTTTACCAACTTAAAGATCTTTTCTAGTACATAACATAAACTTTTGACATAACTTAGGGGTGCTTGTCTGTTTATTAATGATGTAGTGCTGGCAAGAACAAATACTTTTACAATTTTTTCTATATTGTAAGGAAGTTATTTTATAATATCGTTTTTAAAGACTATTTGCAGTCTGAGAGCTACGCTTATTTTTTAAGCAGGAAAATAGCATTTATGCATGGTATTTTATGTGTATGAAACTTATTTTCTGTGCATAAATGTTGTTCCCATGCAAAAATGAAAATAAAAATTCATGTGCATTCTTATAGTGCAGAATAGGTCTTAATCGGTGAATCCATCTCATTATGATGTCCTGACTTTGGAGAAACCCTACTTTTCAAATATTTTGAATATTCTTTCTGTCTTCTATTTCTGTCTATTCCCTAAATGTTAAATAGAAACTTTTAAGGCTGCAGTCAATTGTTGGCAGGCATTGCTGCAAGTCGGAGCCAGAAAATGATCTAATTCCTAAATTTGTCATTAGCCTTTACAGTATTATTTAGTGATGTGGAGGAAGTAAATAGTTTTAAAACTAGAACATGAGATCAACCTGTGATATTGAAGGCAGAATAGATGCAGAGCAGATACAATAATGTTTTACTTGTGTCTTAAAGTATGCTTTGAAGGTAACTGATGCTTTGAAGATACATAAATCCCTTTATTATTGATAGATAAAACCTGTATCCCTATCTGCATTTAATTGGAAATTAGACAACTGAACTCCCTGAAACTTTTTGATCAGACATTAAATCAATGCAGGGCAAATCTTTTTTTTCTTTTCCTTTTCCTTTTTTAAATGACTATAATAGTTATGTAGGGATGCTCAGACAGTGATCTTTAGCATTATAATTGGAGTATGACAACATTTTGTCCTTGCTTAACAATGGAGGGCATACTTTATTTAATCATACAAATATCTTTGGAGTGGTATCATTACTTCAAGGGAAGAAATGTAAGAATTGTTGGGTATTACTTATGTTATAGTAAAACATGTAAAATATTTTTATGTTCAGTGTAAAGGGGAAAATATTGCATAAGATATTTCAATATTTCTTTCAAACTTCCCATTTTCCTAATATGAAAATATGAGAGATTGAGGAATCTGGCTAAAATAATATAAGGACACACCAGATTCCCCTTTTCAATTAATCTTTGTTTCTTGTTTTCCAAGACTGCATATTTGTCCCTATACCAGTCAGGATTTGGTAGAAATTGGGATATTACTTTTGAATCTCTGGCTTTGTTACCATGTGTCATACAATCAAAGCAATACTGCCACATTAGGCTATAAATACAAAGGAGAGTTGGAATGACTTAAACAAGGGGCACTAAAAGAAGCTAAAGGACACTCTGTCCACCTTCACCAGTAGACTCACAGAGAAAGGGCCAGAGAAAATATATTGTCCTTGAAGGAAAGTGAGATAGGATGCTGAACTCTGGCATGTTCCAGCAAAGCTTTTGCATTCCCTTCTTTATCTGCTCTTCTTTAAAAAGTCCTTTTTTATTATGTGTGTGTGGATTTTTGAATCAATATGTTTGCCAAGTGCTACACATACACATATATCCTAAAACCATCCTGCTGGGATAGCTAGAAGAATACTGAAAATGTGCTTGCTTGGTGCAAAATGCAAGTTTCAGTTTAGGAAAATGACTAATGTTACCCCCTCCCACTTACCCCTTGTGTGCAATGCTTACCTTTCAAATTATATTTGTCTGAATGTTGGAAAGCTATTTTAAAATCTAAGCTGATGTCTTTTCCTGCAGATTTGTTGACATACTCTTATGCTTGCTGATGTGCCATAATTATGCTTTATCATCAGAACATTCAAGGACATTCTGTATATTATATGTTACCAGCAGTATTGGTGACTCCAGAATTTTGAGTCCCAAAAGTGCTGCTGAGCAAATTTCATACTGAAGAAGAACAAATGTGTCTGCTAAGTCTTTATTCAGAAACCTTCATTGAGGATCGTGGGGTTCTTACAGAGCAGTCTTCTATGGTTAAATAACACCATTTCACTAATGGAATTTTATTAGAGTGTGTTCAGGCAGTATGGCAATCAATGTCATCTTCTGTTAGTAAGTTTCTGATGTTTTCCTTTTGCTTCTTCAGTCTCTTGTAACCACAAAAATCCATTAGGGAGGAAAAAAGAAAACAGACGCATATAAACTTCAGGAACTATCCATCTGAAATCCCCATTTGTCAAAAGTTTTTTTCAGAAATCCACCATTAGCTTCTTCATTAGCTCTCTTCTCTTAAATGTTCATGAGAAATTTGCTTGAGCAGAAACACTTTCGTATGTTTAATAATTGTAGAATAATAATTGTTTAATAATTGTAGAATACACCGCAATGAGTCGCCCTTGGGCTGAGAATTGCGGTATATAAGCGCAGTAAATAAATAAATAAACAAAATAAAATAAAATAATACCATTAATCAGTCCACTAGAACAAGAACTGCTGTACCATACATGTCAATATATATCTATTTCCATATCAATCAATGACAAACTTCCTTTTTAATAGCACTGGTTATATTGGTATTATGGTTAAATTTCTTCAAGCAGGGAGAATAAAGAATAACAAATTAAATTTTGTGTAAATAAGTGTAAGGTGACCCATCCATTGACAAAAAATCTGGAACTCCACATATATACTGGTTCTAACATTTACATGAGGATAACACTATATACAATATGCATACGGATTTAATAATATGATTACAAAGAAAGAAAAAAGAGAACAAGAAGGGCTAGGCATGCACATTAAAATAAGCTAATTGTGTATTTTCTTGAAGAAGACA